TGTCAGGGCTCCTAACTCTTTGTAACAGCAGATCTAGGGGATTTCCTGCCTTCTTCTGGCTTCAGGAACAGCAGGGATGGTGCACATGCATAGGTTCATATGCACAAAATAAACATAAATAAATAAAAAATCCAAAAAACAAAACAACAAAAGGATGGGCCTATCACCAGTCAGACCTGAATGGAGGAAAGGTTCAGGAACCTTAGCCTTCGCTAATAAACTTTCGATATTGACAGATTCAGGGAGAGAGGTAATCACTGCCTTAAAGTATATACCTGCTAATGCCCGCACAGGGTTTAGATGAACAATTCCAATCTAATGGTCATACAGACGTCTCTTGTTAAACAAAATGGATCGCAAAACAAAACCAAAAGTTAGGATTCTGGGAAAGGCCCTCATCAGGATGAAGGAAGTGGACAGAGATGTGAACTAAAAGAGGGTGTGAGTAAGAGCAATCACAATAATCTGTTTACATGTATGAAATTGTCAAATACAAAGACAATCAAGTGTAAAGAACATTTCCTTTTGGGAAATCTACATTGAAGAATTTAGGGGGTGAAAAGAAGTGATGGATGCAAATTTACTCTCAAATGATTCAGAAAATACAGAGTCAATGGAACAGATAACAAAGTAAAATATCAATCGCATGCCAATATGGGTAAGAAGTACAGGGTGTTCTTTGTGTTAGTATTGCAATTTTTTTAAATTTTGAAATCATTCCTATTTTGTTTGTGTGCACGAACATGTGTGTGTGTATGTGTATGCATATGTGTGTGCATGTGTTTGTGTGTGTGTGTGTGTGCGCGTGTGTGTGTGTGTGTGTGTGTGTGTGTGTGTGTGTGTAGGCCAGAAAGAAAAGCCAGAAGACAAGCCTGGGTGTCAATCCTCATGCACTGTCTATCTTTTTGTCTGAGACAGCCTCTCACTGCCTTGGAACTAATCCAGTAGGCTGTCTGTCTGGCCAGCAAGCCTCAGGGATCTACCCATTTCTACCTCCCTAGCACCCGCATTGCAGCTATGCTCCTGGGCTGAGATGTGTTTACACAGGGGCCAGGGACTGAACTCAGCTGTTCACACGTTACCCTCTGCACTGTCTCCCTCGCTACCATTCCTGAGTTTATAAAGCTAAATATACGATTGTGTGGTTTTCAGTAAGACCTGGTGTCATGGGACCTACAAGTAAATTGTGGTAATGAAAGCACACCCCTTATTCAAAGGGAAGTGCCAAAATAGGAAAATTTAAGCAACAGGACATGCGCACATGTGTGGTGGAGACGGCTAAATCAGTGGAAAGATAAAGAGCTGAAGTTCTAGCTTTGTGGCCACGTGCTCCAGACTGCCTGACCAGACAGAGGTTATGTCCAAGTCTTTGTAATACAAAAATCACTGAACTAGAAAGATAACAGAGTATCCAGGAAAACAAACACTTGTTGGAATTCTCATTCACCTCAGAGTATGGCCTGAAACCTTATTGTCTGTGATCATTTAAATCTTAGAAGAGGTCGTAGGAGAGCTCAAAATAAAGGGGATAAGTTAAGAAGGAGGGAGAGTTACCTCTTTCGACATAACTACTCTGGGAGTCTGAGGTAGGAGAATTGCTATGAACCCCAGGTTAACCAGGGTTCCTGCCTCAAAAAAAAGGGGGGAGAGGAGAAGAAAAAGGGGGCAGCAAGGAAGCAAGCAAGTGAGCAAGGAAGGGATTTCTAGATAATGACAATGTGAAGAATGTCTCAAGAGAAAGTAGCTCTCAGCACTTGTGTTCACTCAACAGGGGCAGGCCTGACTGATAGGACTGGAGCGCTGAGTCTTCATTAATAGTTCTTTCGAGTAAAATGGTTGCCTATTGCCTTTAATCTCAGTACCTAGGGGGCAGAGAAAAGGGAATCTCTGAGTTCAAGACCAGTCTTGTCCATACAGTGAGTTCCAGGCCAGCTAGGGCTACAAAGGGAGGACTTATGTAAAAAAAATTACTCATTGCCATTTAAATTTTCGCAGCAAGGGTCTTGCGCCTATCCTACTGAACTTTTCTGCCAATGTATGAAAGCACAGATGTCAGGCTGAGAGGAAAATCAAATGTACTGAAAAGTAGAAAACAGATCTAGGAGGATCTGGGCATGATGGGATACAGAGTCAAGGGTAACAAGACAAGACGTAATAGGCATAAATTCAAAGGTGTTGAGTTTGAGTTGAGTGGGGATAGAAATTATCATACATAGGACTCTCGTTAAGTTTATGCTTGGGAACATTTGATAGTCAATGCGGCTGCCAAAAAGGTACAGAACAAGAGGGAAGCAACTTATGCACAAGAAACATATCCCATTGACTGGGGCCACACCTGCATTGGTAGATGCTTGTCCAGTATGAAGAAAAGCCCTAGATTCCTTCTCCAGCTCTACATAAAACCAGATGTGGTAGTAAATTCCTATAATCCTAGCACTCAGGCAGTGCTGACAGAAGAGTCAGAAGTTCAAAGTCACTCTCTGCTACACAGTAAATTCAAGGCCAGCCTGAACTACAAGAGACCCTGTCTCAGAGGAGAAAAAAAAGACATAATTCATCTACCCTTTGGGGAAGTCAAACCACGTTTGGAGTACTTATGTTCACTTTTGACACAAAGCACATTTGAAAAGCACTTTAACCGAAAGAAGATCGCCCATCAAAAGAATGCTATGCTGAGAAAGGGTCTGAAGAGCACATTGTACTAGGAGCATCAAAAGAACCAAAGATGCTGAGTCATAAAAACGTAACGTTAGTAGTTACATATGAGCTACCCCAAATGCCTGAAGAACTGTTATGGTCAAGATGGAATAAGTTTCTTAATGAGGCACAAAATGATTAATCAAGGAACATCAAGCTTGAAGTCTGGCAGTCACAGGTTCCGATCTTGTCCCATCATTTTGGAGTTCTGTGTCCCTGGGAAACTCACTTAACCTGAGCACCAATTTCTTCACATATAAAATTGGAATCAATATAATCTCTTTTAGAAGAGCACTTGAGGACTAAATGAGAGTGTGAGGACAGCAAAGCAGAGTGCACACATGGCTTTACTTCTGTCCTTATTATTTACCAAGAGAAACAGGCCTCTTCCAAGGAAGTATTGGACATAATGTATAGCTGCTCAAAAATCAAATGGACTGTTTTCATGAAAATGAGCATGCCCTTATTAGCAACATTCAAGCAGAGACATCTACTTGTCCGGTAAAAGGGAAGATTAGACTTCTAAGATGCTATTAACCTTAGCATTAGTAGCACTAGCAGAAACTCCTTTAGGCCTTCATTTACAAAGGACTCTGGCTTTGAAACCAGAGGAGACAGTTTTTAGGCTTGTCAGTTCTCAGACCAGTTCTCAGTTTCTGGGAGATAATTGTTCTTCCTCTATCAGGAAGGGAAAGGACAGTTCCTATCTTTGACATGGGCTTCCAGAACTTATAGAGTGAACTGGAAGAGGAGACTTATAATAAGGTCTTAGAGCCTATGACTTCATAATCTGAAGAGATGCCCAGAAACATATGGCCACATGAACCAAGTGCCTTAGGCTGGAACTTCATGAGGCAAATATTTTTTAATGTTTTATTCCCAAATATCCCCTTATCTCTCCTTCCTAGTTCTGTCACAAAACAGAATTCTGCCCATGAATTGTCGCCAAATAAGAAAAGAAAGCCCATAAGGAGGGTTTATGTGAAGGAAGAGTCTATTCATGTTGGTCTGTGAAGAAGAACATAAACGCAAAGTGCAAAGTCAAAGAAAATATTAATGTGCAGCTTTGCAAATGCAACTGCTTGGATTCAGCTTTGATTCTGTTTTGTTTCCTGTTGTGGGATATTTGTACACTGTGTGAAGATATATTGTTGCGATTGGCTTAGTAAAGAGCTGAAGGAGGCAAGAGGTAGAGGTGGGACTTCTGGGCAGAGAGAGAAAGGAGGAAGAGATAATAAAGGCATGGGAGACTCCAGGAGAAGTGGAGAGGAAACAGAAGGTGCAAGATAGAAGTGAGGTAATGCCACATGATAGAATGCAGATTAATAAAATATGGGCTAATTTAAGTTGTAAAAGCTAGTTGAAAACAAGTAAGCTAAAGGCCAAGCGTTCATAATTAATAACAAGTCTCCATGCCATTATTTGGGACTTGTCTGGAAGGACAGAAAAAGACTCATTACAGTTTCCATTGCTTTCTCTCCCCCTAGCCTCCTCCGTCCAGTAAACTGATGGGACCTTTCTGTTCAATGCCTACTAAGTGTCAATCAGTTAAGTTCCTGCTGTGCCCGGTTTAGCTCCAGTTCAGCACAAGGTGAAATCATGTTAACAGGTAGGCTGAAGAGCAGCCTTTGGAACATCTTTAACTATGATCCACGGATACTGCTTTTTGTTTGCTTTTTGACACGGGTCTTGAAATTGCAATTCTACTACTTTAACCTCCTCCACGTTGGGATTATCAGCATGAACCACTGATCTGGCCCTGTCACGTTTTTATATTTACTGGAATTATTTGTGGAAATGTAGAAGTAGTAAAGAGAAGAATGGCAGGGGCAGAAAACTGATCTACATGTTCATAGACACAAACAGGTAATGAAAGGAAGTAATGGTCTTTGAACATAATTTGATCATGATAATGAAATGGAAGAAGATGCAGAGAGAGAGAGAGGGAGAGAGAGAGGTTCACACATGTGGAATGGAGTGATTTACAGCTACCCAGGAACAAATATTGAACAGCACTTTGGATCTATGGAGTGGTATGGATTTAGAAAAGGCTAAGGATCACATAAACCATAATGACTTATCCCAGTGACTACCCAGCAAGAAAATACACAACCAGCTTATCAGCCACCAGTAATGTTTTACAATATCCTGGGAGCTTACACTGTCTATGAAAGTCTATACTAAACAACCTCACATGTCTTGCAAACACTTGCCTCGTGGCGCACCGGCCAATCTTGAGCAGCTTACTGCTTCCTTACATTTCCTTATCTCTGGCCACAGGCCCCAACTACACCATGACTTACTGATGAAGTTAGCCTGGCCAGTGAATATGGTGTACTGAAGCTCATAGGAGCTGATGCTGAACTCATCGTCCGAGATCCAGTGGACTGTAATGGTGTCATGGGAGGCGGTACAAAGTTCTTCTCGGATAGATGGTGGGTTTGGGGCTGAAAAAAACATAAAGAAACTAGTAAGGAAATACCTTGTCTCTTCAGAAGAGGTAGGAATTTTTGTTATTGTATTATTTTTTCCAGTCTTCGGGATTAAGCCCATGATAGACAAGCACAGTACTACTGAGCAACACCCTCAGCTCTGGAGAAAGTGTCTTAATAAACAAACTTTGACAAGAATCATGTAGACTGAAGCTCTGTACTGAGACCTCAAGCCTTCCCCAGCCACTTTTGGCAAATATGTAAGACTAAGTAATTGCAATGCCTTCTCCACCTTTCTAAAGTGCCTGGGAAAGCACCTATGTAGATAGCAAAGCAAAATAATTTTTTCTTGTTACTTGGATTTCAACCTATTTTTATTTCAAAATAATCTTTTCGGAGACATTTGACAGTATTTAAATGCTAATTAATAAGAATTTCCCACTGTAAAATGGGCATTACCATATAGATTTGTTATGAAGAAAAATAATACAAAATTAATATATAGTGTCTGGAATAAAATAGATAACAAGTAATAGCCGCATTGGTATCATAACAATATAGCTACAAACAAGGTTATTGTGTGTAGATTTTTCTCAAGAAATGACCATTGAGTAATCCTGAAGGTAGCCAGCATTCTTAACAAGCTGGTTTCATCCTTTACTTTCTTTGTATTCTTCACAGGTATTTTTAGTCTTTATTCCAATCAGCTTAACAAACGTAGACTGTCACTTCTGACACCAATTTGGTACATGAAAAATTTGTCTGGAAGACTAATCCTGAGTCCTAACAGCTCAGGGAAGTAATATGATACTTAATAAGAAACAAATTTGACAAATTTGTTTTGATAAAGCTCTTCTTTCTGTTGCTACCCAGGACTGAACCATATGAAATACTGATCAAGATCTTTGTCAATGAGCCACAGCCCCTCCCCCCAGACATCCGCTTTTCTTTTATGTAACATGAACCAAAAGATATTGTTTCTATAAAGGTACATGTGGGCTAAAACTATACCACCCTGAACATACCTGATCTTTTCTGAAAAGATGCATGTGGTATGTAAAGGTTTATGTAAAAACTCTCATAGTAAATCTTTTCCTTTTCAGATTATTTTAGACTAAAAGGGTACAGAAAGACAATTAAATAAAATGGGAAGGAAAGCACAGTACATTCACACCTGTTAAGTAGTCTAACCCCTCCAATAGTTTCTTTTCTCTAGAAAAATCCAAAGCAAAGTTTTCAAAAGCATCATTAAAATTAATGTCTGGAATCAGAACTTGAGAAGATGCAGTTGCCATAGCGACCCTGAAAAGAAAAAAAAATACATCAATATACATCAAAATAGGCTTGGAACCTTCATCTAATGTTTGATTTCTGGTTTAACGAGGTAAAAATGAATCACTTGTAAGTGAAAATACCACATTTCTGCCTTTCCAATGGAAACAGTTTCAATTTTAATTGTAAGGAATCAATTAAGAGTTAAACCATATTTATACACATATGTTCACCCCTCAAATACACTCCTCCATTCTGTCTTAATTTTGAGAAGTAAATACAGGATTTTTTCCCCTCTGCATCATTTTCCATCTGGCAGACAGCATCAAAGTAGTCCTCTGCTGGCTTAGTGAGAGCAGTTTAAGATTGTTTTTCTACATCTTTTTCATGCTAATTTACAAACCATCATGATGGATGAATGCCTTCCCACTAATACTATTCATTATTTTCTCTTTTACAATATTTATATTTCATTATATTATTCTGATGTCATAATACTGTGATAATGTTATGTCCCAAACTAATTCTTATCTTCTTTCTCACTTATTTGTTTGTTTGTTTCTTTATGATAGGGTTTCATGTATCCCAGAATAGTCTTGAACTTGCTACACAGCTAAGAATAACCTTGAACTCCTGATTCTCCTGCTTCTATTTTCTGAGGGTTGGGAAGATGGGCATGTGCCACCATGTTCAATTTAGAACATGCTGGGGTTCAACCCATGACTTTGTGTGTGCCAGGCAAACACTCTGCCAACAGGGTTAAATCCTTGGGCTCATCTCCCCAGCTACTTTTAAGAAACCCAGCAATAAGGATCCAGTTTTGTACTGTTATATCTTCTTCTATAGTTCCTAAAACAATGTTAGATACATAGGGAATAAAATACATGCTGAATGAGCGACTGAATGACTTACAGTGACAATATGATGCTACCATTTATGGAATGTTTAATATAGAGAGTATATATATTCATGCTATATATATATATATACATATATATATATACTAAGTGCATAAAAATGAAAATTTACATAAATTATCTAATTTTCTCCCTACCACAATGTTATGTAGTAGATGTTATTTCCATTTTGTAAGTGAGGAAGCATGCACATTTAAAAGCTAAGTAAGCTGCCAAAATCACACACAATAGTAAAAAGTCAAAATTTAATTGAACCCATATCCATTTGATTCTAAACTCTGTTTCCATAACCATTTATTTATTGCTAACTTTATGTGTACATTTTATGTATGTCAGCAATTCTTATGATCTGATGATTAATCAGACTTATCTGAAGGAACTTTTACAAAAATCGTCAGGTTTCAGTTCTGGATCAGATCTTCTGAGTGAGAGGAACTGAAGGTCCTTGTGCATACAAATGGCAAGATAGAAGGAAACAGTCATTATCTTGGAAACACTATGCAGATTCTAGCAGACAGAAGAGGCATAGAGTAGAGGAAAATCAGAACAGAAATTTTTATGCTGAGCCATTTGTAAGGACATGAGGAATTGAGCAAATATATATACTCTGCTGCATGTCTACAAATAATACCTCTTGACTATTTCTGAGAATGTAGATGTTTCTGGAATACACTGCATGACAGTATTAAGAAATGAGAGATTAACAATACAAAGACAACTATCCCCAGAAGAAGTTACTTTTTGTTTTATTGTTCTGTATGTGTGTATTTTGTTGGTGGTGGTTCTGTTTTGTTTGTTTTGTTCTGTTTTTTTGAGACAGGGTTTCTCTGTGTAACAGCCCTGGTTGTCCTGGAACTAGCTCTGTAGCCCAGGCTGGTCTCGAACCCACAGAGAACTGCCTGCCTCTGCCTTTCAAGTGCTGGAATTAAAGGCGTGCGCCACCACCATGCCTGGCTGGAAGTTACTTTTAAGCCATGACTACATTATGAATACTTAGCAAAGATTAAAGGGTAGAGAATGAGGCAAAATCATGTAAGGCATTATCTTCTTTGTTTTTAGCTTAAACTTTTAACCTAAGAATAATAGGAGCCACTGGAGCAATTTAGATAGAGGAGTGATGTGCATACATCTATGGCTTTTTTCAGAGCTGTGGCCCGAACCCAGGGCCTTGTGCTTGCTAGGTATGCGCTCTACCACTGAGCTAAATCCCCAGCACCCACATTTATATTTTTTAAATTGTTTTTATTGAGTTATATATTTATCTCTGCTCCCCTCCCTTCCTCCCCTTCTGCACGCCTTTAATCCCAGCACTTAGGATGCAGAGGTAGGCGGATCTCTGTGAGTTTGAGGCCACCCTGCATTTATGCTTTAAGAACAGTTTTAAAGCTGTAGGGGAGGGAAGTCAATGGGATCTTAAAGTCCCCTAGGAATAAGCAGTAAGTGAAGTATTAATGAGGCAGAATAACAGGGCAGGAAAATTAAGGGGGTCTCTGCTATAAGCCTTCAACTGTTATGAAATCTCACAATAACTTAGCCTATTCACAATAAAAGGCATGTCTTAAGACCCTTGTGTAACCTGCAGAACCCTGGTTTTGCCTTATCAGGTTGCAATCTTACCCAAGGCTCCTACAGAGTCATTCCATTATTTCACTTATCAAAAAGAAGAAAGAGACAGAGTAGAGGTGTTTCTTTTGAAACACTTCAAGCTATATAATTTCAAAAGACTGTAACATTTTATATTCAGGCACTGCTAAGGCATTCAAGGGGGACGCTTTCTTGAGAAGCCCAAACTCATGCTCTTGGCTGCGCTGTATCCTTTTCCCGAGCACCTTTCTTTCTATTTACACTCAGGTTCAAATCGATGTGAAACGGTCTGCCTAAGACACTCCAATTCTGCTCCCAGCTGACTCAGCCTGAGATTCCTTGTCATCACTCCAGTGGCAGTCTCGGAAAAGAACCCCTCAGGCTGCTGCAGGGAGGGGACAGTGTAGTGCTGTGTCTCCTGCCAGAGACCACTGGCTGTGACAGGCACAGGAGTGGAAACAGAACTGAAAAGGGAGTGGAGGATTTATTTACTAAGCAGTCAAAAATCCCTGGCTTCAGTTCTCTAATACTGCACACACACACACACACACACACACACACACACACACACACACACACACACACCTGAAAAATTGATTGAAAAACCATGAAAACATGGGACCAGTGTGATGGTCAATGGGTAAAGGTGTCTGTCATCAAGCCTGACTGCCTGAGTTTGATCTCCAGAACTCTCACTGTGAAAGGAGAGAATCAACTTTCCTAAGTTGTTTTCTGATCTCACACATGTGGATTCACACACATACCCACAAAGAGGGACATCAATAAATGAATGGATAATAAATAGATACATACATTACTTAATTAAAAATAAACCAACAGCACCATGAAAACAAGCCAGATGTGGTGGTGAATACCTGTAATCCCAGAACTCAAGAGGATTTCTAGGCTTTGAGGTCAGACTGGACTACGAAGGGAGTACTAGGTCAGCCAGGACTAGGCAAAAATAACAGCGGCAATAATAACAGTGCCCTATGGAACAAAACAGCCGAGAAGACTTTAAAGGGCAAGCACACAGCAGGGCATGTCAGCGCACACCTGGAATCCCAGAACTCAGGATGTTGAGGCAGCAAGATCATGAGTCCCAGGCCGGGCTACATGGCAAGATCCTGCCACAGAAAATCCAAATACATGAGAAACTGAAGAAATGTAAATTAAGACGGGAAAGCATTTAGATTACAAGCAAGATAATATAAGAACTTTTATGTCTGTATTAAACAATGCCTACATGAAGCAAGATAAAAAGACGGAAAATTGGGGGGCATGAGAAAAACGGGGCCTCTCACCCAGAAATGAAGAAAGAATTTTAGCACAATTAACAACTGCTTAAGTTTCTCCCTTTTCAGCTGTAAAGCTGTATTTTTCTCTAATCTCACCAGAAATCCCATTTAGAGAGAAAAGGCTTGTACTAAGCCCCTTGTAAGACCACAGTATCTTCTGGCTTAACCCATCAGGTTAGAACTCAATACAAGGCATCTCCAGAGTCACCATATAATCTCAATTCTCAAAAGAGAGAGAAAGAGGGCGACAAAAGGCGCTAAGGTTTCTTAGCTAGCAACCTTTTAAGCTGTAACTTGAGGGCCAGCACAAGGGTATATACGGTTAATGCCAAGGCCGTTAGTTATGCGCCTCCCTTGTGGAGCCCACATCCACAACTTCGGTATGCCTAATTTTCCATGACTCTTTCTTATACTCTGTGCATGTCTTATTTTCTGTGGCTCCCTTGAGGAGTTCACATCCATACATGGGTATTTAATTCTCTGTAACTCTTAGGGGAGGCCAAGTTCACACTCTTAGGTGTGTCTTTGTTTCCATGGGTGCCTCTTTCTCCTAACCCTTGTGCTTAATGCACTTTCCAACTCTGCTTCATCACACTGGCTGGTTTTGAAATTCTTCTCTACATCAAATCCATGAATCCCAGTTTGGTCTGGATCGAGGTCTCTAAGGGGTCAGAACTCCACAGGCTACTGAGGATGACAATGTGGAGCTGTACCTCAGTGCTGATGCACATATCTCATTGAAACGGAAATAGATATGTGGGAGGGGAACACTGCATATCAAAACAGTTGATGATGAAATATTTGTTGACACTAGTTCTACTTCATAAATATTTTAAAAGATTTAGTCATCTATTTGTGTGTGTGTGTGTGCACATGTGTGCACAAGCGTGTGAGACTATGCATACAGGCAGAGACCATAAGAGGGTGTGGAGTCCTCATCTGTCACTATCCACTTATTCCTGTGAGACTTCCCAAACCTAGAGCCCACGTTTTTCATAAATACTGGAAGCCAGACAATTCCAGAAATCCTCCTGAATCTGTACCCCTCAAAGTTGGGGTTATAGGCATGGGTAGGGCAGGGAAGTTATCTTGTGTGGGTGGTGGGATCTTTTTTTTAAAGATTTATTTATTTTATATATTCCTGCAGGGCAGAAGAGGGCACCAGATCTCATTATAGATGGCTGTGAGCCACCATGTGGTTGCCGGGAATTGAACTCAGGACCTCTGGAAG